TCTGTAGGGACTGAGGAAAACTACAAAAACCTCTGCCAAGCTAGTTGGATTCTCAGTGATGAAGGCCCTCAAGACTTGGGAATAAGGGATGTAAAAATGTGTTTTCATGGTAAGTGGTGATGTCCTGCCTAAAACGTTCTGGTACAAACACAGAAGACAAGTAACTTGCTAAGATTATTTGGCTCAATTTGGCAAATAAAGCTGAAGATCTATCAAGGAAGAAACAACTTAAAATAACATCTATAAAATACTGTAAACAGCACTTCTAAACTCCCAATGATTTTGTGACCACCTTAACATTAACACAGACCTGAGAACAAGCAACTCACTGGAAATCACTACTGAAGAGTGTATGTATCCTATCTACCAAAATGTGCTTTGTACAATCAACTACAATACATGCAACAATAGTTTCTTGCAAAAGCTGTAGGCTTTCATTCCTTTAGAACATAAAGAAATTTACTGCAGATAGTTCTTAGTTAAGAACCTTTATGTCACATTAAGTTTAAATTACACTGTGTGTGTGGGGGGGGGTGCGCCCAGGTCAGGTCATGTGGGATATGTGGCAGACAAAGTGGTACTAGGGCAGGTTTTCTCAGAGTACTTTGGTTTCCCCTGCCAATTCTCATTTCACCGACTGCTCCACACTAATCATCTATTATCTGGGGCTGGTACAATAGGGAAGTTCCTAGCCAACTTACCAAGTGGACTCTGTCTCACCCCACCCCAAGAAACTAAATAAACCTAAGAAGCTTCAAAGACATTGACCTTTCCTTCTACCACAAATGAGTGCCTGTAATTGACACTGACATAAAATATGGACCACATTAATGATTTCCCATATGCCTCTTTGAAGAGAAGCCTGATTCAACAAAGAACAAAACTGCACAATATAAGAAAAAAATATGAACAATTTCACAAATATTCCCACTTCAAGGGTTCACTTTCAATATTTGTTTCTTCTACTTTGATATTCTTAATCAATATGTCAGAAATTATAACACATATTTTGGTGGTCTGGATCTTCTCACCCCTTGTAAGTCAATATGACTTACACAGCAGTTTCAGTTCTATTTTTAGACTGAGCGCTGCTGTAATGGTCTCTGTTAATAATGGAACTGATCTGACTTGACATGACCTGACTTCTGTCAGTCACCCTTCTAGTGACTTACAAGAGAAAAATATGCATCTGAAGCACTGACAAACATAACGATTAAGTACTCCTAGCACAATCATGCTTTAACCAACAACAAGAGCCACCTAACAACAACAATCTCTAAACCAGGGCAGCTGAGTCAGTATAGTAACTAGACTACTGGTTGGACAACAGAGAACCTGGATTTGATACCCAACAGTGACTGAGATGTTTTTCTTCTCCAAAGCATTCGAACTGACCCTGGAGCTACTGAAGCCTCAAATTCCACCAGTATTCAAGCTCTCTCCCTGAGGGTAATACTATAATAATAACCATAAACTTCTGAGCTGGTAGAAAGCAGTGGTGCAAGACTATGAACGTTTGCTTTAGCTGGAGGTGCTGCTTGATAATCATAGTTTTACTGCCGTAATAACAAATGTAACAACATGCATCAGTAGAAAGACCAGGTTTATTTACTGAAATTGGACAAATATAAAATATGGTATTTCAGTCTGTTTTAACATGGCACATAATGAAAATATCTGAGTATGGGCAACACCAATGGCCGTGCCACAGCTTAAGCGGTTAGTTGCTGGCTTCCCACCAAGGCGGCCCATGTTTGATACCGGGTCTGGTCAAGTAGGATTTGTTGTGAACAAAGTGGCGCTGGGGAGGGTTTTCTCAGAGTACTTCGGTTTCCCCGCCAATATTCATTCCACCAAATTCTCCATCATCATAATCACCCGGGGCAGATACAACAGGCCAATCAGTGGCCACCATGCCGAGTGGACCCAGTTGGACTCCACCCCCCACTAAGTGAAATGGGCAACACCAAATAAATTATAACAGTTTCTCAAACTCTATTAAGCTTTGCATGGAACCAGTGGGCTAGCTAAAAATATTATGTACACAGTGATATCCAGAAATCTTAAAAGAAAGTGAAATTAAGGGGGGGGGGGATCCCTCTCCAATGTTTTATGAATCTCTGAGACTAGACTGCCGATCACAGTGGCCATGCAGTCTAAGGCATCAGATGTCTTCAGCCACTCGAACAATGGGATCATAGGTTCAAATCCAACTCAAGGCATGGATGTCTGCCTATATTTATTCCGTGCTTGTGTTAGGTAGCGGCCTTGCCACAGGCTGATCCCCCATTCTAGGAGTCCCACAAACTGTTTTAGATTAAGAAACTGAAATGAAACAAGGGGATTCACAGATGCCCTACACTCCAAGTGGGAGGAAGAGGAGGAAGAGGTACTAGAACTGTCCCTATGATCTTATTACTGTAAAAAATATCAGAACATGTGTTATCTAGTGCAACAAACAGTGCATAAACTATTATGCTCCATTCACCCAACCAGGCTCAAAAAATTTTCATTGCATCTGTTCATGAAAAAATAAGTAAACAAGGCTCACATACGTGTAGATACAAACAGACAATAACAGCACATTTCCCATTCCAACGATCAAAACTCTTATAATAGGTGTATTTTTTTTTATTGCTAGTGGGGTGGGACTAAGTCCCTTGTACTGCGGCCACTTCTGGCCTAGTGTACCAGCCCCAGATGACTGGTGAGGGTGATTGAGGAGCAGTTGGTGGAATGGAGATTGGCAGGAGAAACCGAAGTACTCGGAGAAAACCTGCCCCAGCGCCACTTTGTCCGCCACAAATCCCACTTGACCAGACCCGGGATTGAACCCGGGCCGCCGCACTGGGAAGCCAGCGACTAACCACTTGAGCTATGGCACAGCCCTATAATTGATGTAAGTCACTGAACAATTATAATTAGATAACGTTCAAAAATTTTGATTGTATACTTTAACAATAATAATCAGTAGCCTAAATGAAGTTGCCAATTCTAGTTTATATGCAAAATGCAGGGGTGGTTCATTGTGGACCAGAAAAAATGTAATGGCTATCCTATTGCTGGTTTAGAAGAACAAGTACAAGTATCTACAATTTCACTACTTTTCAGGAAACAAGAAAAACTGGTCAGTTTCACCGTAACTTCTTTCACGAGACGACGTTCCTGCTACGGATTTGTTCACGCGTTTCTGGTACTGCCCCCCTCCAAAATTCTGATATATATGTAGTCAGTTAACTTAATGTCAATGTCTTTAAAAATAATGACTGCAGATATGCTAGTTTAGCTGTACCATTTATTCGGCTACAGTGTCCTACACTAATTTCAGCCTGACGTCAATTCTCAAGCTTACATGTAATGAAAATACTGACGCTTCATAAATTACAAGTGCTATCACATGATGTTCATGGCAGCTATCACATCACGATGTGTTCTCTAAAGTTTGCACCTGTAAGGCGACTGAATTATAAAGCTCTTAATCACAAAACGAAGAATACGAATGGCAGTATGGCCACAAAGCCCAATGTCAGACTAACAACAACAGAAAGAAGTAGTTTCTTATGCAAAACATTTAGGAACACACTGTTATTAATAAAATGTATTACAATTATATGCTATTATATTACAAATAAATATAATTATTTAGTCTGTATACATCTGCTACTCATCATTCTCATTGCCATACTCATTTTTGGTACCATTTGTAGAAAGGACAGTATTGTGGTGTTATGATAATACCATGCAGATCTAGTAGACTGTTCTATTCCTCTGCTGCAATTTGTACCATATCCTTCATTACCAGGCTTCAACCTCAGATCCGATTTACAAATTAAAGCCAATTTTTTTAGTCAAGTTTCTTCGTCAGAATTACTTCTGCATTTCCTTCGATAACATGGGCAATCTTTTACAGTACTAAGATGCAAACTTGGTAATTGGTTGTGCTCAGGATAAATCTATGATAGCTAAAGTACGACACTTAGTTCATGCAGGCTAAACTGTACACATTTCGTCCAACGAAACCGGAATAGCGAAGTCGACGAAAAACGTCCGTCACCAGCCAACGGCTGGGTAAACATTGTTCCCACAGTGAAGTCGCCCAGTACTAAGTAAACGCGTTCCAACTCCAACGCATAGCACTGAACACGCATTTCTGTGATAACAATTCGCTAAGCAGATACTGTTATCACGTTAATTACAATGGTTCTCGACGCGAGGCGGTCTCAGAAGAGCAGAAGAGAACCCTATGGGGGAGTGTCTACTATCACGGCTGCCTAACAGATATACTGTTCCCACGGTGAAGTCACCCATTACTAAGTAACGGTTGGCTAAACGTGTTCCAACTCCAGCGCACCGGAGCCGGGACAGCTCAGTCGGAATAGTAGCTGGATGACGGAGGAGTAGGAGCTTGAGTCCCGGTAAGGCAAGAATTTTCGCTTCTCCATATCATATACGGTTACCATTGTAATTTCTGCGAAATGTTACGCTGAAATATCACGGCTTCATCCATTTGTAGCCTCGTATAATAAAGTTTTCAACACTAAAAAAAAAATTAAAATGTACATATCCTAGAGGATTGTTTTCAAAATAGTCTTCTAACCAATATTTATGCCTATTTGATACCAAATGATACCCGGAAGAACACTAATCTGAGGTCAGCCATTCTGTCAATTCTTGGAGATATGCTATCCTCTTTCTAAGCTTTCTCTCGCTATTTCACGCATCTTATGACCTGTAATGATATGAAATCTACCTTAAATGGAATTTGGTAATGTCTTTTCCAACTTCAAGGAACAAAAACACAGACGTTATGTATTTCGGCTTGCAAAACTTCAAGCCACAACGGGTGAAAGTCCCAGCCTTTGTGGGATAGCCTTCTTCAATCCCTTCTTACAAAATTAAGTAGCACTTTACATCTGCCACAGTGTAAATGGAGTGTTACAGTAATCTGTGCATGGTTACTAAATAAAGCCACATGGCTGCATTCTTGAGTCATCACTCACTTGTCCTCTATGATAAACTTGTCTCCCTGCCCCTCAACACATTCCCCCTTGGTTTCTATGGAGGTCGAGTTGATACTGAGCAGATGAGGCACCCCAGACTGGAACCAGTGTCCTGACCATTGTTTTGGAAACTGGCAACCACCTGCAAACAGAGAGCATTGTCTGAATGTCCCACACTCTTAATGGAGAAGTTTAATGTTTGGTCATTATGATCAGGCAAGGGCTGGAGGCAGTAGTATTATTCCAATCAATTACCAAGTAGACCCCTTCAGTTATACCAAACTAGATGGCACTACAGTAACTGTGACTCATTATTTCAAGGTGCTCATTTCAGAACCAGTTACACTGACTGTTTTCATGGCGCCCTTCAGCCCTGCCATGCAAATTCATGTAGAACCAATACATTAAAAGAGACCACGCAGGATTTGAGGATCTCATAGCAGTGGTTATGAAGAGTTCTGTGTTCTGGGATATAACTCTGTGTAGTCTGCTCAAAGTCGGTGAATGTTTCAGAGGAAAATGTCGCCTCCATCTTCAAGGTTGAAGAATAAGACAAGCAAAATCGGCTGATTTTAAACAGACTACATATCATTATAAGCCGATTGATACGACTCTTACAACAGACAACCATTTGCACACAAATCCATCCCAAGGCCACTAATAATTACCGCAGCACATCTGCATAGCCTCGGCAAGTGACTAAACACCATAAAATAATGGAATAATGAAGTACCTTAAAAAAATGCTTCTTCTTCAAAATTATTTATTGCCCCTCTATCTCCGTGCACAACAATTCTTTCTGCGAAGCTTTCAACCGTCCAAATTTGGGGATACATCGGGAATCTGTAATTACCTTAATGTAAATTAAATTAAGTACATTAGTAAAGCGGTCAGTCGCTGGCTGCCCACTGCGGCGGCCTAGATTCGATCCCGGGTCTGGTCAAGTGGGATTTGTGGTGGACAAAGTGACGCTGGGGCAGGTTTTCTCCGAGTACTTCGGTTTCCCCTGCCAATCTTCATTCCACCAATTGCTCCACAATCACCCTCGCCTATCACCTGGGGCTGGTACAATAGGCCAGAAGTGGCCGCAGTACAAGGGACTTAGTCCCACCCCACTAGCAATAAAAAAAAAAGTACACTAGTACATCCTTTACCCAATTAGTTCGAGCAAGTCGGATTCTTTAACGCAGACGACACAAATTTTGCGTTTAACTGTAAGACGAGGCCTCTACCAGGTCACTGGAAATTGCAGACCACAGTACACGTTTGGTGTTCCAAACCTTGACAGTAGATAAGTCGTACCTTCTACAGAGCCGTTTCTAGGACCGACGATACTTTTACGTTTAATTAGCGGAGCTGCCTCTGTAGTCTAGTGGTCAGAGGTCAAGGCTACAGATCCAGAGATCCGGGTTCGATTCCCAGAACTACCACATTTTCTGAGAAGTGGTGGGTCTGGAACGGGGTCCACTCAGCCTCGTGAGGATAACTGAGGAGCTACTGCAAGGGAATAGCGGCTCCGGTAGTTGGCACTAACTTCGCCGACAAGCGGCGGTCGGTATAGTTCGCTTGCGGACTAAGACCACGGTTTTTTTTTTGGGGGGGGGGGGTGGCCGGCAGTTAAGATCTCCCAAGCTGAATATCATCCGCTTTTGCTTGTAATTGGGGAACGCGAAATTCTCAGGCTCCCGTAACTGTTAAACCAGCCAATCACGATCCGAATGAGGACGACACTAGTTCAAGTTGAGACTGCGGAGGGACTGACTTGGACGTTCAGTACATTTCAGTGCTCGAGGTGGGACGTACCTGCGTGCCATTCGGCCCCAAATTCTAAAGCATCAACGCTGTAACCATTTCGGCTTGTTGGGCAATAAACCCACTAATTAATTTCAGTGGAATCGTTATTTGGTCATTCTAGTAATAAACAATAGGCAGCATTTAGTAATCGCTAGAAGTGCTTGGATTAAGTCTTCCAAACGTCGCTAAAGAAGCAAACTATTATGTTTGTGAAGCCATATAAGTGCATTAACGAACATCCAGAATAAATCATCATTTGTTTGTATACTTCAAAGTGCCCACCTTACCTGAGCTAACCCACCAAACCTACCTGTGAAAATAGGGTCATTCGAAATGTTACAGGTACTTCATACACCGGAATCCTACAGGCGACCATTAAATCCATTGAATTACTCTCAGACGTACGGTAGCAGTTAAATAGCTATCCTGAACCCATTCTACCAATGCAACCCATCATCAGCACAACACCCCGATGAAGTGCTAAAGGGCGGCTGCGACTAGCTTAAGTGTCGTTTAAAGCCGGAGGTAAGGGCGGTTATACGCTGATAGCCACTAAGCTACTCAAAAAATGTTGCCTTCCTTTTATGGAACCCTAAAGCTGTCAATATACCAGAGTTACAAGACTTCACATTCTAATAATAATAAATTGCTAAACAATAAGAAACCAAAGCTATCATTACAGTGATATCTATGCTTAGATCTTCCAAGGTGTCTCTTCCCTTCAGGCTTACCAACAAAAATTTTGTACGCATTCTTCATTTCTCCCATGCATGCTAAATGTCCTGGCCCTTTTATCTTTAATGGTTCAATAATCCTAATAACATTCGACGAAGAGTACAAAATTATGTAGCTCCCACATTATGTAACTTATTAATTATAATTTACATCCCGGTTAAAATTTATAATAAATTTCAGGATTTAATTATTTTTATAATGAAACCAGCTGCAGTTTACTGAGCTCTGAATACAGTACAGCTGCTTCTACTGACCCAGTACAAAATATGAATGTTCCTGGAATCACCTCGGGATAGGTCTGAAGGAACTCGTAGAATATTTCTCATGATGCAATGAAGTGCTCAGTAATCCATTCGTATCTGGGAGGTCTGGTTCTATTCCTTGCCAGGAGAGTGGCTAGCCTGAATGAGGCCTGAGACACTTAACATTATGACAAGGCAAATGCTGGAACATTGCCTCAAAATGAACACAAACACTTCCTCCTGCATCTGGCATCTGAGATAACTCATTCTCAACACTGTGTTGGATACAGAGCTAGTAAATAACTTAATCCGCTGGCACACCATGACAGCTACTAGACATCTGCCAGTTCGATTGGATTTTGCTGTTTTAACAACCATGAAATGTCACCGGACGAAAGTCGAAGCACATTTCTTATTTCAAGATATTTGCAGGTCCTCGTACACCTCCAAAACATTTCTGTAACAGATCTGAAATCTGTTTTAATTAACTTTATTTGGGCTACATTTTCTGGATGGATAAAGTTAATTAATATGTCAAGAAGTTAATAAGAAAACATGTCAGAATAAGAAGAAAGCAGTCTTCTGGGCTTTGGCGCCGTGTATATGTGGTGTTAACCGACGTTTCGGAGGAACGTATCGCCCCCATCTTCAGGGTTGAAGAAAAAGTATAGGTAAATCTGCAAGCGACAACACCGTGAGACACGGTAANTACTTTTTCTTCAACCCTGAAGATGGGGGCGATACGTTCCTCCGAAACGTCGGTTAACACCACATATACACGGCGCCAAAGCCCAGAAGACTGCTTTCTTCATAGTCACCGCCGTGAAAGCCTCAAATCTTACATGTCAGAATAACTCAGGCCTTCCAAGTCAAATGCACGTCTCACTTGGCAGGCCCCCTATACGAAAGCCATTCATGACAGATCAGTCAATAACGTGACTGCTTCTAGTTTGGACAAATGACACTTGGACACAGAAACGGGTGCCACTAGTTTGGCTATTTATTTTCTAATATAGGACATCTGCCCCCTCGTTGGTGTCTTCACCTTATCGTGGTGAGAGGGTTTGAGTATGCCAAGGACCCTGAGAGCTATACCGGCGGTAGCGTAGCTACTGGCAGGGTCTCCCTTGCTGGACAGGTCAAAGGGTAGGCATCAGACGAAGAGAGACACCAAAAACCAAAAACTGATGCCGGAAGCAGCGTCATCAGCAGCGACTTGAAGCACAGAGCAAATGGTGCTCGAGATGGTTCAAGTTCGTATAGAAACAAGCGTGACCAGAGTGGTTTGAACGGCTGTTGTACTGCGATGTGGAAAGCAAATGGAAAAACTACCACATTATCACTTTTCCTGCATAGTCTCTTTCCAAAAACAGAGATACCATGTATGCGAGATGTTTCCTCTGGAGACAAACAAACCGGAGGGGCAGACAGAAGTGCCCAAAAGACGAGGAAGAAGACCAAAGAAGATATTTTAACTGAAGGAGAAGGCTTGAGATCGCATTAAGTGGAGGAACTGTTTTGGAAGAGACTGTGGACCTGTCGTCTGACAGATTACCGATGAATGAATGAACAGGACATCTGGTTGGCCAATGTGGCCTGAGTATCAAACTTCTTTTTCAGTGCTACAACTAGTAGAATTACTGCTACTGCTACTACCACTGATACGAAAAGGTAAAGTTATCCCTGTGCTTTAACTAATTAAGCGCCACGGCATGAAGGCGTATGGGGGAGTGGATGTATAGATCCATGTTTTCTTGACCTCGGCACTAGCTGGAAATGAGTGGTCAGCCTCAGGCTGCTGCCGCCCCCGGCGGCTGTTTGGTTCGCCTGTGCCCACCCCTGCGTATATCACATACAACTGTACTGCATCTACACACTGCCACACAGAGCCTATACAATCGGCATCACTGACAGTCATTAAACATGCATAAACTCTCCCACACACACACACACACACACAATACATCTGACCGGGATTCCCAAACGCTTCAAGAAAACGCGACGCTTTTCAGACAGTGAACAGCGGTAAATCTTACGAGAGTGACTGGACAGCACACTAAAAGTAATTATGAAGAACTGTCGTTTCCTAGAGACACTCAGTTACGCTGATTAGCGCGCATAATGGGCTGTGTACACAATCTTCACACGCTCCATTTATTATCGGAACGAGGGCACGTCATTGTGGATTGGTGACGCAGACCGTTACGTCATCATTATAAAGTTACTAGATCCCACTCTCAACATACCCCGGTATGTATTCGCCTGCGTAAGTGCAAACGCACTTACACCGTAAGGTAGCCTATATCGCGGCGGCCCGGGTTCGATCCCGGGTCTGGTCAAGTGGGATTTGTGGTAGATAAAATGGCGCTGG